AGCTAGACAAATGGTCGGCAGCTTACTCTGACCCAGACTGGCTTTGAACTCATGACCTTTTGGTCAGTAGTGATTTTAATGCATCTGACTCCTAACCAGCTGTGCCACAACCTGGTCTTATCTGTTAGGTATGGGCAAACTAAGACCTGGGGGTCGGATGTGGCCCCCTGAGTGCTTACTCAGGCCCTCCTCATTTTCCCTGTTCACTTGGCATAACGACACGGTGGCTCGCTATGTCCTTATGCCAAAAAGTTTAGGGAGGAAGGCACGTAGCGCCTGAGAGCTCTCTGGAGCGCTCTCAGCCTCCTCCTGGCATCAGGATTGTGTGAGAGAAGCTACCCTTATTCTGGGAGGATGGCTCAAGGAAGGCATGCGGTAGCTGAGAGCCCTCTCTGGGGCACACTCTGCCGCCTCCTGTCTCGCCTGTCTTGCCCTCCTCCCGGCATAATGCCAAGAGGACAGCCTGCTTTAAGGTCATTTTGGGTTGTGATCCTGTCCTTTGGAGTACTAGCTCTCCCTCCTAATTTGGTGCCATCTCCCTGCACATTAAACCCCAAGGGCTCCAACTCTGGACTGGGAATCTTCACCTCATCAGACTAGGGGATGAATCCACTTGAAATCCAGTTTCTGCCTCCTGAAGAATTCTGGGAGTTGTAGTTTAGTGAGGCTGTTAAAGGCTACTCCCTAAACTACAAACCCCAGAATTCTGCAGGAGGTAGAAACCACATTTTAAGTGGATTTTTCCCTAGTGTGATGAACTTTTTCTGTCTAGATTGACAAGTTTTTTCCTTTCTTTCATGTTATAATAGGAGGGGGGGAGGAAGAGAGGGAGGGAGGGGCACATGCATTCCTTCCCTCCTTTGACCCCCCCTCCTCCAATGTGGAAGGGTTAGGGGTTGCAAAGGGGGCAGCGGGGGTCCGTCGCCTCCATTCCTCTGCCTTGGGAGGTCGGGAGCCCCCTTCAGCCCCCCTCCCCCCCCGCTATTTCCCCTCCGGCCTAGACTAGCTAGGTTCCCCCCTCCGCCCCCCTCACATTGCCCCACAGAGGCCGGACCCCCTTCTGCCTCCCTCCCCCCGCGCCAGGTGGGAAGCCAGCGGCGCCCCTTCCCTCCTTCCTTCCTTCCTTCCTTCCTTCCTCTCCTCCCTCCCTCCGTCTCTCTCTCCCTTCTTCCCTTCTCTCCTTTCTTCTTTCTTCCTCTCTCCCTTCCTTTTCTCATTCTTTCTCTCCTTCCTTTTCTCCTTCCTTCCTTCCTCCCTCCGTCGCTCCTTTTCCTTCTCTCTTTCCTCCCCTTCCTTCTCTCCTTCTCGCTTTCCTTCTTACCTCCCTCCCTCCCTCCCTTCTCATCTTCCGTCCTTCTTTCCCTCCATCTCTCCTTTCTTTCTTTCCTTCCTTCTCGCTTTCCTTCCTTCTCTTTCCTCCTTCCCTCCCTTCTCTCATTCTTTCTCTCCTTCCTTTTCTCCTTCCTTCCTTCCTCCGTCGCTCCTTTTCCTTCTCTCTTTCCTCCCCCTCCCTTCTTTCCTTCTCGCGTTCCTTCTTTCTTTCCTCTCTCCCTTCCTTCTCTCCTTCTCGCTTTCCTTCTTACCTCCCTCCCTCCCTTCTCATCTTCCGTCCTTCTTTCCCTCCATCTCTCCTTTCTTTCCTTCCTTCCTTCTCGCTTTCCTTCCTTCTCTTTCCTCCTTCCCTCCCTTCTCTCATTCTTTCTCTCCTTCCTTTTCTCCTTCCTTCCTTCCTCCGTCGCTCCTTTTCCTTCTCTCTTTCCTCCCCCTCCCTTCTTTCCTTCTCGCGTTCCTTCTTTCTTTCCTCTCTCCCTTCCTTCTCTCCTTCTCGCTTTCCTTCTTACCTCCCTCCCTCCCTTCTCATCTTCCGTCCTTCTTTCCCTCCATCTCTCCTTTCTTTCTTTCCTTCCTTCTCGCTTTCCTTCCTTCTCTTTCCTCCTTCCCTCCCTTCTCTCATTCTTTCTCTCCTTCCTTTTCTGTTTCCTTCCTTCCTCCCTCCGTCGCTCCTTTTCCTTCTCTCTTTCCTCCCCCTCCCTTCTTTCCTTCTCGCGTTCCTTCTTTCTTTCCTCTCTCCCTTCCTTCTCTCCTTCTCGCTTTCCTTCTTACCTCCCTCCCTCCCTCCCTTCTCATCTTCCGTCCTTCTTTCCCTCCATCTCTCCTTTCTTTCCTTCCTTCCTTCTCGCTTTCCTTCCTTCTCTTTCCTCCTTCCCTCCCTTCTCTCATTCTTTCTCTCCTTCCTTTTCTCCTTCCTTCCTTCCTCCCTCCGTCGCTCCTTTTCCTTCTCTCTTTCCTCCCCCTCCCTTCTTTCCTTCTCGCGTTCCTTCTTTCTTTCCTCTCTCCCTTCCTTCTCTCCTTCTCGCTTTCCTTCTTACCTCCCTCCCTCCCTCCCTTCTCATCTTCCGTCCTTCTTTCCCTCCATCTCTCCTTTCTTTCTTTCCTTCCTTCTCGCTTTCCTTCCTTCTCTTTCCTCCTTCCCTCCCTTCTCTCATTCTTTCTCTCCTTCCTTTTCTCCTTCCTTCCTTCCTCCCTCCGTCGCTCCTTTTCCTTCTCTCTTTCCTCCCCCTCCCTTCTTTCCTTCTCGCGTTCCTTCTTTCTTTCCTCTCTCCCTTCCTTCTCTCCTTCTCGCTTTCCTTCTTACCTCCCTCCCTCCCTCCCTTCTCATCTTCCGTCCTTCTTTCCCTCCATCTCTCCTTTCTTTCCTTCCTTCCTTCTCGCTTTCCTTCCTTCTCTTTCCTCCTTCCCTCCCTTCTCTCATTCTTTCTCTCCTTCCTTTTCTCCTTCCTTCCTTCCTCCGTCGCTCCTTTTCCTTCTCTCTTTCCTCCCCCTCCCTTCTTTCCTTCTCGCGTTCCTTCTTTCTTTCCTCTCTCCCTTCCTTCTCTCCTTCTCGCTTTCCTTCTTACCTCCCTCCCTCCCTTCTCATCTTCCGTCCTTCTTTCCCTCCATCTCTCCTTTCTTTCCTTCCTTCCTTCTCGCTTTCCTTCCTTCTCTTTCCTCCTTCCCTCCCTTCTCTCATTCTTTCTCTCCTTCCTTTTCTGTTTCCTTCCTTCCTCCCTCCGTCGCTCCTTTTCCTTCTCTCTTTCCTCCCCCTCCCTTCTTTCCTTCTCGCGTTCCTTCTTTCTTTCCTCTCTCCCTTCCTTCTCTCCTTCTCGCTTTCCTTCTTACCTCCCTCCCTCCCTCCCTTCTCATCTTCCGTCCTTCTTTCCCTCCATCTCTCCTTTCTTTCCTTCCTTCCTTCTCGCTTTCCTTCCTTCTCTTTCCTCCTTCCCTCCCTTCTCTCATTCTTTCTCTCCTTCCTTTTCTCCTTCCTTCCTTCCTCCCTCCGTCGCTCCTTTTCCTTCTCTCTTTCCTCCCCCTCCCTTCTTTCCTTCTCGCGTTCCTTCTTTCTTTCCTCTCTCCCTTCCTTCTCTCCTTCTCGCTTTCCTTCTTACCTCCCTCCCTCCCTCCCTTCTCATCTTCCGTCCTTCTTTCCCTCCATCTCTCCTTTCTTTCTTTCCTTCCTTCTCGCTTTCCTTCCTTCTCTTTCCTCCTTCCCTCCCTTCTCTCATTCTTTCTCTCCTTCCTTTTCTCCTTCCTTCCTTCCTCCCTCCTTTTCCTTCTCTCTTTCCTCCCCCTTCCTTCTTTCCTTCTCGCGTTCCTTCTTTCTTTCCTCTCTCCCTTCCTTCTCTCCTTCTCGCTTTCCTTCTTACCTCCCTCCCTCCCTCCCTTCTCATCTTCCGTCCTTCTTTCCCTCCATCTCTCCTTTCTTTCCTTCCTTCCTTCTCGCTTTCCTTCCTTCTCTTTCCTCCTTCCCTCCCTTCTCTCATTCTTTCTCTCCTTCCTTTTCTCCTTCCTTCCTTCCTCCCTCCGTCGCTCCTTTTCCTTCTCTCTTTCCTCCCCCTCCCTTCTTTCCTTCTCGCGTTCCTTCTTTCTTTCCTCTCTCCCTTCCTTCTCTCCTTCTCGCTTTCCTTCTTACCTCCCTCCCTCCCTCCCTTCTCATCTTCCGTCCTTCTTTCCCTCCATCTCTCCTTTCTTTCCTTCCTTCCTTCTCGCTTTCCTTCCTTCTCTTTCCTCCTTCCCTCCCTTCTCTCATTCTTTCTCTCCTTCCTTTTCTCCTTCCTTCCTTCCTCCCTCCGTCGCTCCTTTTCCTTCTCTCTTTCCTCCCCCTCCCTTCTTTCCTTCTCGCGTTCCTTCTTTCTTTCCTCTCTCCCTTCCTTCTCTCCTTCTCGCTTTCCTTCTTACCTCCCTCCCTCCCTTCTCATCTTCCGTCCTTCTTTCCCTCCATCTCTCCTTTCTTTCCTTCCTTCCTTCTCGCTTTCCTTCCTTCTCTTTCCTCCTTCCCTCCCTTCTCTCATTCTTTCTCTCCTTCCTTTTCTCCTTCCTTCCTTCCTCCCTCCGTCGCTCCTTTTCCTTCTCTCTTTCCTCCCCCTCCCTTCTTTCCTTCTCGCGTTCCTTCTTTCTTTCCTCTCTCCCTTCCTTCTCTCCTTCTCGCTTTCCTTCTTACCTCCCTCCCTCCCTCCCTTCTCATCTTCCGTCCTTCTTTCCCTCCATCTCTCCTTTCTTTCCTTCCTTCCTTCTCGCTTTCCTTCCTTCTCTTTCCTCCTTCCCTCCCTTCTCTCATTCTTTCTCTCCTTCCTTTTCTCCTTCCTTCCTTCCTCCCTCCGTCGCTCCTTTTCCTTCTCTCTTTCCTCCCCCTCCCTTCTTTCCTTCTCGCGTTCCTTCTTTCTTTCCTCTCTCCCTTCCTTCTCTCCTTCTCGCTTTCCTTCTTACCTCCCTCCCTCCCTTCTCATCTTCCGTCCTTCTTTCCCTCCATCTCTCCTTTCTTTCCTTCCTTCCTTCTCGCTTTCCTTCCTTCTCTTTCCTCCTTCCCTCCCTTCTCTCATTCTTTCTCTCCTTCCTTTTCTCCTTCCTTCCTTCCTCCCTCCGTCGCTCCTTTTCCTTCTCTCTTTCCTCCCCCTCCCTTCTTTCCTTCTTTCTTCCTTCTTTCCCTCTTTCCTTCCCTGCTGTCCCGTCCTGGGGAGACTCACGCGGGATGTCCCGGGGAGAGGGGAGGGCTGGGCGGGGGGCTGCCTCTCCATTCGGTCCGGGCTCAGCCTGGACCTCTCTTTCTCTCTCTCTTTTGGTCCCAATGGCTGAGGAAGGAAGGAAAGAAGGAAAGAAAGAAAGAAAGAAAGAAAGAAAGAAAGAAGGAAGGAAGGAAGGAAAGAAAGAAAAGAGGAAGGGGGCAAGGGGCGGAGGGGAATCCCCGGAGGGAGGGCTCTCTCGTGGGGTGTCAGCAGCAGTAGCAGGTGCCTGGCAAAGGCAGCCCCCTCCCTCTCCCCACGCGGGGCATTCCGGAAAGTGGGGCGGGGCTGCCCGAAGTTGAGCAAGAGAGGGAGATCCCTGCCAACCCCCCCCCCCACACACCCACACCCACACCCACTCACACACACACACCCACACACCCGCACCCACTTCCTTCCTCTTTCCCTCCTTCTCCCGTCCCATGGAACCAAAAGGGTGGGGGCGGGAGGGGTCCGGACCGAGGAAGAAGTAGACCCCCCCCCCTCCGGTCCCCGTATCCGCAGGGCGCCTGTCCCGCGTCCATCTCTTCAAAGGAGGACTGTGTCTCCCTGCCTGAAAGAAGAGGGATGGACTAGATGACCTATAAATAAAGATATTATTAGGTTCTTGTAGGTTTTTTCGGGCTCTATGGCCATGTTCTAGAGGCATTCTCTCCTGACGTTTCGCCTGCATCTATGGCAAGCATCCTCAGAGGGAGTGAGGTCTGTTGGAAATAGGAAAAAGGGTGAGACAAAGGACTCTTCTCTGCTGGAGCTAGGTGAGAATGTTTCAACTGACCACCTTGATTAGCATATAATGGCCTGACAGTGCCTGGAGGAAACTTTTGTTGAGAGGTGATTGGAGGAAACTTTTGTTGAGATGTTTCAACTGACCACCTTGATTAGCATTTGATGGCCTGACAGTGCCTGGAGCAATCTTTTGTTGAGAGGTGATTAGATGTCCTTGTTTGTTTCCTCTCTGTTGTTGTGCTGTTGTGATTTTAGAGTTTTTTTTAATACTGGTAGCCAGATTTTGTTCGTTTTCATGGCTAATCAAGGTGGTCAGTTGAGACCTTCACACCTAGCTCCAGCAGATGTTCCTAGTTCCAACAGACCTCACAACCTCTGAGGATGCTTGCCATAGATGCAGGCAAAATGTTAGGAGAGAATGCCTCTAGACCATGGCCATATAGCCCTACAACAACCCAATAATAATAATATCTTTGGCTTTCATGGCTGGAATCACTAGGTTCTTGTAGGTTTTTTCGGGCTATAGGGCCATGTTCTAGAGGCATTTCTCCTGACGTTTCGCCTGCATCTATGGCAAGCATCCTCAGAGGTAGTGAGGTCTGTTGGAATAGGAATGGGTTTATATATCTGTGGAATGGCTGGGGTGGGGCAAAGAGCTCTTCTCTGCTGGAGCTAGGTGTGAATGTTTCAACTGACCACCTTCATTAGCATTTGAAGGCCTGGCTGAGCCTGGGAAAATGTTCTGTTGAGAGGTGTTAAGATGTGCCTGGTTGTTTCCTCTCTGCTGCTTTGCTGTTGCAATTTTAGAGTTTTTTAATACTGGTAGCCAGATTTTGTTCATTTTCATGGTCTCCTCCTTTCTGTTGAAATTGTCCACATGCTTCTTGTGGATTTCAATGGCTTGTCCAAGCATGTGGACAATTTCAACAGAAAGGAGGAGACCATGAAAATGAACAAAATCTGGCTACCAGTATTAAAAAAACTCTAAAATTGCAACAGCAAAACAGCAGAGAGGAAACAACCAGGAACATCTTAACACCTCTCAACAGAACATTTTCCCAGGCTCAGCCAGGCCTTCAAATGCTAATGAAGGTGGTCAGCTGAAACATTCACACCTAGCTCAAGCAGAGGAAAAGCTCTTTGCCCCACCCCAGCCATTCAACAGATATATAAACCCATTGTCCTAATTCCAACAGACCTCACTACCTCTGAGGATGCTTGCCATAGATGCAGGCGAAACGTCAGGAGAAATGCCTCTAGAACATGGCCCTATAGCCCGAAAAAACCTACAAGAACCTAGTGATTCCAGCCATGAAAGCCAAAGATATTATTATTATTGGGTTGTTGTAGGGCTATATGGCCATGGTCTAGAGGCATTCTCTCCTAACATTTTGCCTGCATCTATGGCAAGCATCCTCAGAGGTTGTGAGGTCTGTTGGAACTAGGAACATCTGCTGGAGCTAGGTGTGAAGGTCTCAACTGACCACCTTGATTAGCCATGAAAACGAACAAAATCTGGCTACCAGTATTAAAAAAAACTCTAAAATTACAACAGCACAACAACAGAGAGGAAACAAACAAGGACATCTAATCACCTCTCAACAAAAGATTGCCCAGGCACTGTCAGGCCATTATATGCTAATCAAGGTGGTCAGTTGAAACATTCACACCTCGCTCCAGCAGACAAGAGTTCTTTGTCCCACCCTGGTCATTCCATAGATGCAGGCGAAATGTCAGGAGAGAATGCCTCTAGATCATAGCCATATAGCCCGGAAAAACTTACAACAACCCAGTGATTCCGGCCATGAAAGTTTTCAACAATACATTATTATTATTATTATTATTATTATTATTATTATTATTATGGGGGACATGAGAGAAGCCTCCTCGCAGGATTGCAAGACATCCGGGCATCCCCTGGGCAACGTCTTCATAGACAGCTGATTCTCTCGCCACAGCAGTGACCAGCACTGACCAGTCACTGATCTGTTTGTTTGCTTTGTTCAGTTAGAAATGTAATATAATGAACTGGTTGCTCTGACACGACAAATAAATAAATAAATAAATAAATAAATAAATAATAATAATTATTATTATTATCATTACTGCATGGAGTGCCCTTACCTTCCCACCAAGGCAGTACCTATTGATCTACTCACATTTGCATGTTTTCAAACTCTGGATTAGCAGAAGCTGGGGCTAACAGCGGAAGCTCACCCCTGTTATCTCACTCATCTCTCCATTATCTCACCTCGTTCACCTCTCCATTGGAGGACTGTGTCTGCCTGCCTGGCAGAAGAGAGCTGGACTAGATGGACTTTGGTGTCCCCTTCCAACGGTGTGGCTCTATGCCCCCAGTCCTTCCCTTCAGTCCCTTTGAGATGGAAAGGCTGTTCTGCTGGACCCCAAGCCCTCAGGGCCAGGCCTCCCAAGGGTCTGGCTAGCTGCACCCAGGACCGGATTGAGCCTTGTGTTTAGGCATGTGGCTCCTTTGGCCAGGGAGCCCCTCCTTCCTGCATCATATATATATGGTAAAAGTTTTCCCTGATTCTGGGACTCTGGTGCCCGCCTCCATTTCTAAGCCAAAGACCTGGCATTGTCCTTAGATGCCTGGCAGAAGCGGGCTAGACTAGATGGCCTTTGGGGTCCCCTTCCAACGATGTGTCTCTGTGCTCCCAGTCCTCCCCTTTGCAACTGAAAGGTGTCTCTGTTGGACCCCAAGATCTCAGAGCCAGGCTTCCCAGGGGTCTGGCTGCACCCATTGCCCGATTGACCCTTGTGTTTTGGTGTGTTTCAACACAGGGCCCCAGGAGCTAGGGGCCCCACCTTCCTATATATTTATATCACGATGGATTTTGCTAATTGGTGTGTTCAAGAGCGGAATACGGAATGTGGGTGGACAGGAAAAGAGATTGAAAGATGGGCTCAAAGCCAATCTAAACAACCGTGGCCGAGGCACTGAGAACTGGAAAGCCCTGTGTGATGAATCTAACCTTTTGCCAGGAAGGCCGAGGCCTTGAAGACAGTAGCTGACATGTTCAGAGATAGGCAGGAGAGCTAAGAGGCAAGAGGGAGGAGTCAGCCGACTCCTGATTGGCTAGAGCAGTCAGAGGAGGAGTTAGCTTTGAGAGGGAAAAAAGGCTGTCTTATTTGACAAGCTGGGGAGTAGAGCTTTAAACATCGTAGAGTGAAGAAGTATTTTAGGAAGAGGGAGCTGTGAAGAATTTAGGCAGGGAGGGAAAACTTTTGAAGTGAGCCTTGAGGGTTCGAGCATAGGAAAGGCAAAGGTTCCTGGTTCACTGTACTTAGAAAGGGTCAGTGAAGGAAAGCCTATTTTGCTCTGTGAGGCAGTCAGTGGGCTGTTCTCAGGGACACACTGTGTCAGTGTAGTGGCCAGTGTGAGGCAAGGAACTCACAAAGAAACGAAAGTTTTAGTCTTGAAAGAAGACTGCCTGTCTAACCAGCTAAGCCTCAGTAAACCGCAATACGCTTTTGTACCACTCTGATTAAGAGTTGCTTTGTTCACTATGTTTAAATAAACCTGATTCTAATTTTCATCTTTAAACTGGTGTCTGCCTTGGTCTGTCACAATCATTAGGTCTCAGCTAGCTTAAAGACAACTTAATTTTCAGTTCAGTCAGCGAGAGAAGCAGTTGTTAAAGAAGAACAAGGGCTTGAACAAACTTTACCTATTTTCACATTCACACTCATGTTTTCCTCAGACATATAAATTGAGGTGGTGGCGGCGAATTTACCTAATACATCGGTCATTAACATCGTTAACACAGTTGGTCACTTAACAATATTACTGAGGTGGGATAAGAGAGTCTTTCCCCCTCGTCGTAGTCATTTTATCGTCGTTAGAGTAGTGTCCAGCTGAACGTTAACCCTTTAAACTGGTGGGCAGTGGGTGTGATTGCTTGTCCCCTCTGCCCGGTGTGTCGTTTATCCCTTTACACTGGTGGCAGCAGTGGGATCGCTTGTTCCCCCCTGCCAAGTGTCGCTTGTCCTTATTACACCCTGGTTCTCCAGCATTGAAACTGGAGGTCAGCTGTGACCAGCAGTGAGGTGGGATGCAAAGAGGCACAAATGGAGGATGCAAGGAAGAAACGGGTCAAGACACACCAAGCCCACCCTAGTCGGGACCACCTTCCACCTGGAATCCAATGTCCTCAAAGCGAACATGCAGGACAAGAATCGGTCTCTCTACAGCAGTGTTTCTCAACCTTCCTAATGCGGTGACCCCTTAATCCAGTTCCTCCTGTTGTGGTGACCCCCCAACCATCACATTATTTCAGTTGCTACT